ATTTTAAAGAGAGAATTTTTCACGCTCTATAAAGAATGTTTAGTCCCTTTCCCATCAAGGAAAGATCTCACAATCCATTATCTTTAAAGCTCAACGTTCTCGGTGGCACAATGACTGATGCCTACCACCTTTTGAGACCCAGCGAAAAAAGCTGATACTTATTTCTCTCTAATTTATGTGAGATCTCATAATCTCTTAAGACATAAAAAAGCCATTAAAAAACAAGTTAGATGGGTATACATCAATACCTACTAGGAGAAATATAGACAAAATGATTTCTTCTCTGCACAGCTTCAGTTGTACTACTGTCTCCCAAAATAGGCAGCACAAATATTTTCACCTTATTAGAAATTTCCCCCTTCGTCTCTTAACATCTCTAGTGCTAATAGAAGTGATGATCACTTGGCTCTTAAGATTTTTGGTGATGACTCACTTTACCTGGTGCTTGAGATTTTTGAGGATGCCTTACACCGATTCATAACAAATCAAAGTTTTAAATGGCCACTGCTAGTCGTCACTCTCTTGAGGCGACGAACCCCTCTACCGTCCTACACAAAAAGGTTTTATCATGGCCCATTGGAATGAAGTAAATTTGATCTTGTTCGTCCAGGGAGAATGATGAGGTATATTGGGCGCCACATAAGAAATGGTTTGGGCCAAACAAACCACAAAGCCCATAAAGGCCGACAGACATGAAAGTCTGTTCATGCCCAGTATCTAAGCACAGAGTAATTCCTATTAGACGAACACAACTTCCCACAATGGTACGATATTGTCCACTTTGAACATAAAATTCCTCACTTATAAATCCATAAATTAGTTGATATGAGACTTTCATCATCTCGCATCTCCCCTTAATTGAGTCTCGACTCCTTTGAAGTCTTAGTACTTTGTTCGATATTTGAGGATTTACCAATTTATTGTGGCACGACTAAGTTTAAAGCAGGGTTCTGATACCATGTTAGACGAACACGACTCTCCATAATGGTATGTTATCCACTTTAAGTGGAAGTTCTCATGACTTTGCTTTTAACTTCTCCAAAAGGCTTCGTATGTAGTTACTATTCCTCCCTTGTAAACTCACGATGGGGATGTACTCTCATCATCGACCAGTTCCCACCCCTCGAACAGAGTTTTTTTTTTCCTCCAAATTCTTTACGGAGACTCATCCTCATTTCTTTCCTCAATTGCTTCACTTTCGGATGGCGCGAAAACCAGGCGTTCAACGCCGCCATTGTCATTCCGGCGACGATTACGATGCTACCCCATTCCAATCTTCCTACTCATAGAACGAAGGCGACTATGACGCCTCTAAATCGGGTTAACTCCCAACCCCGTGACCCCAAATCGAAATCCCTAGAAATCAAGGCCTCCGATTCAATAAGCTCCGCGGAATCCGCCTCCAACAGTCCAACAAATTACCGAGTCCAAACGCTGCCCATCCTGTATTTCCGTACATCAATATTGCAGTGTTGCTGATTTTTCCAGTGGTTTATCTATTAGTAACTATCTTGCGACTATCTTCAACAGGGAACGAGAAAGATTTTAAGGCAATTCAGAGATCAGAAGTCACCTGTTGCTGCTGTGCGTCGAAGGATTAAAACAGAAGAGTCGAGGATTACTCCAGTCCAAACTCCAAAATGACGCGAATGTAGAACAATAACAGAAACGACCATTGTTGCCCAGAAAAAAAAGAAATCACTGAGGAACAGTTTCATATTTGATTTAACTCCATTACAGTAAAACAGAAAACAAAAAGAAGGTACCAAATCAAGTGAAGTGAACCATCTTTCTCACCACTTTTAAGCAGCTGTTTTCTTTCTCTTACTCTGAGATTCACTTCCCGGCTTCTTCGAGGCACAAGACGAGGAAACTCCATCAATTGCCTCGACTTCTTGACTATTACATTCACTCAATACTCGTAATTTCTTTCCTGACTTCTTTGAGGCACTAGTCGGCTCCTGGCGGTCCGGACTCGGATCGGAGTTATTCTGCTTCCAGGAACTGAAATTCAGAACAGATGTCACACTGCATTCTTGCCATTCGAGGTTTTTGAGGTCCGAGATTACGTCCTCAAGCGTAATGGACGCGGATGATGAGATGCTCTCTTTGAGTGTGGAACGAGAGAGATTGACCAGATTAATTGTACCTACGGCTTCCTTCACTACATTCTAAGCAAGAGAGAGAGGATGTGAATGTAATTAATCGGTTCCTATTAGACTAGGAGTGAGGATACATCAAATTACTTCAGCTGCTGAGCAGCATCGTTTTCTAATCTCATTTTCCGGACTCTTCCCACTATTTTATGCTAAATTAATTTAGAACATTACGTAAACGTTCTCTAATTTGGAACGCACAACAGAGGATCCATATTAAGTCCCAAACATAGAAAAAAATTGATAAGGAATTTCAATCAATTTGAGTAAACGTTCTCTAATTTTTCAAAGCAAGAAGTTCAAACTAGAAACCAATTGGTGAACATTGCGTGAGAGATGCAAACAAAGGTTATTATGATTAATTTTCAACCAAGCAAATTAAACATACGTATCGGTTCGGCAAAACTCACCTTCAGACCTTTGATATTCATGTAGCCATGCATGCGAATGATCTGCACATCAAGTTAAACAGAAGCATCGGTTAAAAAATCAACACGCAAGTAGTTCGAAACGAAATCCAAACAGATCGTCACAGAGAAATTAGTGAGGACGAAAAAATGAACAATGTAGATCAGGACCTGATTGAGATAAGCGACGGGGAGGAATAGTTGCTTGTCGGAGGAGAAGAAATCGAGGTAGTCCTCGAGAGAGATCTTATTACTCTTCTTCCGGAGCCGTTCTGCCTTCTGTTTTCGTTGATCCTCCATGGCTCCTCCGTTGCGTTCTGTTTAGCGCGCCAATGGGACTCGCAAAATTTTAGTTTGTTACGAAATGGACCGGCTTAGGCGGCACCCCGCGTCCTTTTAAATGACGAAATAATAGAATATAATCATTAAATTAATAAATAAGTATTATATTATATTTACATGATATTTTAAAAATATATTTCATCCCATTTTTACAATATAATATAAATATTGATTTTAAAATATGTTGGCCAAAAGTGATTTCTACATTACGGGCATTGAGTTTGAAATTTTAAATAATGGTTGGGGCAATTCTGTTACTTTTAAAAATAATTTTAAAATTTTTCATTTTCAATATAATATTTATTAAAAAAGGTAAATAAATCTTAATAAACATAATACCAATCTCATTTTCTAAAATTTTAAATTTTAATATAAATAGTCTTTAATTTAAATATTAAAATTAACTAATTTATTTTTATATAGAAAAAATATATTTATATTAAGCTGAGCTTCCACTCAAAAAAAAAAAAAAAAAAAAAAAAAAAAAAAAACAAATTGAACCCTTTTATGGTGACTTCATGGATAAAATGGACATTTAACTATATTTTGTAAATGAGCTCCAAACCATTGAATCAAATTGTCATTTAAGGGTGCAATTAATAGTAACGAAGTTCATCCAAATTTTTGCCAACATCCATATGGTAAACAACGAAAACGACCAAAACCAAACAAAGCGTCGAATTGGGCGACCGAAACAAAGCAAACTCGCATCGATTCCATCACTCAAAATCCAGCATAAAACCAACCCCCCACACACTATAAAAATCCATCCCTCTCGTCTCTATCTCAACCCATGGCGGACCCGAAGGAAGGTGGGATCGTGAAACACGGCCACGAGGAAGGCCTGGGCCTTGCAATCGCCCTTCTGAAGGAGTTCGAGCTGCCGGAGGGGCTGCTCCCCTTGGCCGACGTCGAGGAAGTCGGCTACGTCAAGGACACAGGGTACGTTTGGATCGTGCAGCGGAAGAAGGTGGAGCACCACTTCAAAATGGTGAGCAAGTTGGTGAGTTATGATGCGGAGATCACTGGGTTTATTTTGAAGAAGCGGATTAAGAAGCTTAAGGGCGTTAAGGCTAAGGAGTTTCTGCTGTGGCCGCCTGTTAATGATATCTACCTCGATGATCCCCCAACTGGCAAGATTCACTTCAAGAGCCTCGCCGGCGTCACCAAGACCTTCCCTGTCGAGGCCTTTGCTGCTGGCCAGTGATGCTTCATATCGTTGCTGCTTTTTTCTTCTCAAATTTCATACGTATGATGAATAAAATGGTTTCTAAAGGATAGTCTTTTGAAAAAGAATCTCAAATTTTTATATATCTATGTCTTCTGGATGTATAATTTGAACATGAATTACACCTCGTCATTTTAAAAAGCTATAGTTTCATTTAGAGATGTCTATTTAACTTTGGAGTCGAAATTCTTAAGAATTTACTCATTTGTATCGGCTCAAATCCGCTCCTAGTAGATATTATCTGTTTTTTTGCTGGTTATGTATCAACGGGCAGTGTTATGATTTTAAAAAGATTCTACTAAGGAGAGATTTCTACACCCTTATAATGAGTGCTTCGTTTCTTTCTCCAATCGATGTGAGATCTCACAATCCACCTCCGTTGGGACTAGTGTCTTCACTGACATACCGCCCTGACTCTAATACCATTTGTAACAGTCTATACTCATTGCTAGTAGATATTGTTCGCTTTGGCTCGTTACATATACCTGTCAGCCTTACGGTTTTAAAACACGCTTGCTAGGGAGAGGTTTTCACACCCTTATAACGAATGCTTCGTTCCTTCCTCCAATCGACGTGGGATCTCACAATTCACCTCCGTTGGGGCTAGCGTCCTCACTGGCACACCGCCCTAGCTCTGATACCATTTGTAACAGCCCAGACTCATTGCTAGTAGATATTATTCGTTTTGACCCGTTACGTATAGCTGTCAGCCTTACGGTTTTAAAACACGCTCGTTAGGGAGAGATTTCCACACCCTATAACGAATACATCGTTCCCACTCTAATCGATGTGGGATCTCACAATCTACCTCCGTTGAGGTTCAACATCCTCGTTGGCACACCCCTTGACTCTGCCACCATTTGTAACAGCTCAAATTCACCGCTAGTAAATATTGTCTACTTTGACCCATTACATGTAGTCATCAACCTCACAATTTTAAAACATGTTTACTAGGGAGAGATTTCTGCTGATGTATACTAATCAAAGTTTAAAATATAGGTGTCAATTTTATAAAAATATTGGTCTAAAAAATATATATAAAAATAAAATTGATTTAAAATTGATTTAAATAAAGTTTAAAATGGGTTTTAATTCAAAATCAATAAATAAAAAGTTTTAATTGAATGGGAATATTCGGTGGCCAAACTTTTTCTTAAAAGTGGGAAGAAATCTCTTTAAATTATTTAAATAAATAAAGTTAGAAAAAAAAATTAGCGAAATTAATTGTTTGATTAAAACAAATCCAAAATCTTAATAATAATTTATTTAATTTATTATTGTAAAGTCACGAGTCACCCCTAAGCTTTTGTCCTTTTAATAACTTAAAATTATCCATAATAACTCCCACCTTTACTAAATGCCAAATCGGATTCAACTAATGTGACCCGTCACCCATCTCGAGAAATCAAAGCTTAATTAAACAAAATCTTAATTAATAAATCTATCTTTTATTTTTATAAATATTAGAGATATTTTTATTAATTTAGATTTAATTTTTTAATAAAAAATAAAAAATAGACGAGAAAGCTTTGCAATTTTATTTATTTATTATGATTATTTTTAGGAAAAGTTTTAACCTTACTCTTGATTGGAAATAAAAATAAATAAAATATATGAATTGCATTGAAAAAAATTAAAAGAAAAAATTTGTTCTTCGTGAGGCGATCTCATCATTTATTTACAGACATTATCAATGGCTTCCGCCGTTGAATCACACAAAGACTACTAGAGACTCGGATTGTGACTCCGAGCAAGACTCTCCGCCGCATTGGATGCTGACTCGCTCGCCATTGACGCACCTTCAAGTTCTCTCTGTTCGCCACTCAATTCTGTAACCAAGACGACAATGTCGGCCTTCCGCTTCTAATTTTTTCATTTCTGAAATCACCCATTTGATCTCCTTCAGCCCTTTCAATTTCCTTTCCGGTAAGTTTCTCCCATGGGTCAGTTCTCGCGGATTTGCTCTTACGATGGGTTTTGCGCTAACTCTGCTGCGATGAGAAATGGGTCGGCCTCAACTTCTTCGTTGGTGCTCGATAGTGAGAGAGATGAGCTTATCGAGGCTCCATTGAAGCTTGAGAGTAAAGGGGTTCCGGCTGAGAGGAGCGCCGCCGCGCTGAAGAACCACAGCGAGGCTGAGAGAAGGCGTAGAGCAAGAATCAATGGTCATCTTGGGAGTCTTAGAAGTCTCGTCCCCGGTGGTAAGAAGGTGGGTGTTTTTGTTTTTCTGCCATTTTTGGTTATTAGGGATTTTGATTGAGCTCTGTTTCAGTTTGGGTTCATTTTGAATTTGGGGTTTTACTTTTGTCTTCATTAATATAGCTCCAACACTCTGTTTATGGTAAGGACGTCTCAAATGTCCTGATTAGGATATGGTTGTAGGGTTCTTTATGTCTGGTTTGCTCTAGAACTGGCGAAATTCATTTAAACTTTTGTTTGTTCATTCATATTGCTTGCTTGTTTTGGTGTTGGCTGACATGATCAGTGATCGATATATGAGTATAAGATGTCAACCATTTGACTCTAAATTGTATGAATGAATTTTCCTGTTCATGAGTGGTGAAGACATCATCTAACTGAAGGCATCTGTTAAGTTACTTCTCAATTTGCCTTAATTTTTAGTAACTTCCATTATGTTGTTTGACTTTCGGTTGAGAATCGTTGGGAGAGGAGTCCTACATTGAGTAATTAGGGGATTGATCGTGGGTTTAGAGGAGTCCCACATTGACTAATTAAGGGGTTGATCATGAGTTTAGAGGACTCCCACATTGGCTAAGTAAGGGGTTGATCATGGGTTTAGAGAAGTCCCATATCGACTAATTAAGGAGTTGATCGTGGGTTTGGAGGAGTCCCACATCGGCTTTTAAGGGGTTGATCATGGGTTTAGAGGTAAGAAATACATCTTCATTAGTATGAGGCATTTCGAGGAAACCAAAAAATAAAGCCATTAGAGCTTATACTCAAAGTGGACAATATCATACCATTGCGGAGATTCATGGGTTCTTACATGGTATTAGAGTCATGCCCTTAACTTAGCCATGACAGTAGAATCTTCAAAATGTCGAACAAAGAAGTTGTGAGCCTCAAGTGTGAAAGAAAGGGTGTACTTTGTTCAAGGGCTCTAGAGAAGGAGTCAAACCTCGATGAAGAGGAGGCTGTTTGAGGACTCTATAGGCCTCAGGGGAGGCTCTATTGTGTACTTTGTTCGAGGGGAGAGGAGTCCCACATCGACTAATTAAAGGGTTGATCATGGATTTATAGGTAAGAAATACGTCTCCATTGGTACAAAGTCTTTTGAGGAAATAAAAAATGAAGTCATGAGAGCTTATACCCAAAGTGAACAATATCGTAGCATTGAATGCTTATGAATGCTTGCCATGAGTATCGACACCCTGACTTTGTGTGTGTTCAATGACCAGATGGACAAAGCAACACTGCTAGCTGAAGTAATAAGCCATCTGAAAGTGCTGAAAAGAGCTGCTGCAGAAGTTAGTGATGCCCATATTATACCAAAAGAAATCGATGAAATAACAGTTGAACACCAGGAGGATGGATTCGACATTCGAGCGTCGCTATGTTGTGATTATAAACCCGGCCTCCTACCCGATTTAAGACGAGCACTTCATGCTCTGGACCTGATAATAAAGAGGGCGGAGATTGGAACCTTAAATGGCAGGATGCAGAACGTGTTGGTGTTAACCAGCTGCAAAGATGGAGATATTGAAACTACTGAATTGCAGACCTCAGTGCACCAAGCCATCAAATCTGTTCTAAACAACTTCTCTGATTCACAAGAGTTCTCGTTTATGGCGTTTCCAAACAAGAGACAGCGAATTTCGCTGCTCGGTTCATCGAGCTCGTCTTCCGTGGGCGATTTCTGGTGAGCATATGATTTCTTTTTACTGGTTTTTGCATCTCTTGGGAAGTCAACAGGATAAGTGAGTAGGATACTGCTAAGCCTCACTTATGCATTGAGAAGGATCCGGGATTCGAGCTGGAGTGAAAGTCAACCCCAGTGATCCGATGGTGTTAAGTGGAGGGGTCATCGCTCGACGGATAAAAGTTACTCCATAGATAAAAGACTGATATTCTCAATGATGTTCAAATTGTACGAGTGACTCCATAGATTATATTACAAATATGCATATCTTGAATTTATTTATGAATATTCGTCAAAATTGTATTTTTTTTTCTTTTCACATCTTTTTCATTTTTAGCGTATCTTCTAATATATCATCTGATTGCATGTGTCTGAGAACTTTTGATTCAATTATGATGGTCAAGACTCGGGTTTTTTGCACTGCATAAGGACGAAATATACTATAGCAATTTAAGCCTACGACTATCAAATATTGTCTGTTTTTACCCGTTACGTATCGTTATCAGTCTCACGATTTTAAAACGTATCTACTAGGGAGAGGTTTTCATACAATGTTTCGTTATCCTCTCCAACTGATATGGGGATCTCACAATACACTCGAGGGTCTGAAAGTTCTGAAAATTTTGAAGGATAAGCTGTTACCTTTATCAAAGTTCGGAACCAATAATGATTTTTTTTTTTTTTTTTTTTTTTAGGTTTAGGGTTTAAGGTCGGAAATTAGACTGGTCAGGTGGCTGAGGTCCAGAATAATTTCAGTGGGCTTTTTCTGGCCCAAAGTAACTTCGCAAGCCCAATAGCTTAAAAAATAATAACCAGAGAAAATATTAAAATATCAACCATTTTCTGTAATAGAAGGGATAAGGCAATCTTATTAATATCCACGTGTCATCATATAATAGGACAGTTAAATGACGGGAGATACGGGGATGGCGGGGAATTTCTTCTTCTTCTTCCGAATATGCGCGAGCGAGAGTGGTGATTCAGTTAGTTAGCGTCAATGGCATTGTGCGGACCGAGCCACCAGCTCGCTTTAATCTCCGGCAATGGGCAGCAGAAAACAGGACGACTAAGTAGAACCAGAAGGGGATTCATAAATGTTCAGGCATCGACGAGCTCTGAAGCGGCGGTGTTCGAGGAGGGGAAATTGGAGCGGCCCAATTGGGCTGGAGAGACCCCTTTGTCACGGCTTGTCGGTGCCCTAATTTCCTTCAAACCCGTCTATTCCATTCTTAAGCTCGGCGCCAGACAAGTTTTCATCAGGTCTATTTTGTGTACACTTCTTTTGGCAAAGTGATTTTTGGTTTTGGGTTTTTATTTGTTTGTTTATGGTTGTGGATTGGAGCAGTACAGCGGAGAAGAAGAACATTCCATGGCGGAAGATGTGTTCCGATATTCTGGAATCTGACGTCTACAAGGAGCTCGAGAGCGTTCAAAATCTCTCCATTGTCTATCCCGATTGTAAGTTCTCAAGTTCTTCACATTGCTATTTCATTTCATTTAACCAGTTTTAGTCGATTTGAGTTTCATAAGGTGTCATAAGAACATATATGATATGTAAAGGCTGCCAAATCTACTGCTAGTTGATACTATTTGTTTTGGTCCGTTACGTATTGCCGTCAGCTTCATTGTTTTAAAACACGTCTATTAGGGAGAGGTTTCCACACCCTTCTAAAAAATGTTTCGTTCTCCTATCTAACAAATGTAGGATTTCATAATTCACCCTCTTAGGGGCTCAACGTCCTCGCTGGCACACTGTTCGTTATCTAGCTCTGATACCATTTGTAATAGCCCAAGTCTGAAGCATTCCTTGTAAGAATGTAGAAACCTCTCCTTAGTGTAAGCATTTTAAAACCTTGAGAGGAAGTCTAAAAAGGAAAGTTCAAAAAAGACAATATCTAGTAGCTGTGAGTTTGAACTGTTACAAATGATATCAAAGTTAGACATCGAGCCTCAAAGGGGTGGATTGTGAGATCCCACATTGGTTGGAGAGGGGAACAAACCATTCCTTACAAAGACGTGGAAACCTCTTCCTAGAGGACGCAGGGTAGCCTGGAAGGGAATGCTAAAAAAGGACAATATATGTTAGCAGTGGGCTTGGGCTTGGACTCTTACAAATGACATCAAACCTAAGCACCGGACGGTGTGCCAGCAAGGACATTGAGCCCCTAAGGAGAGGGTGAATTATTAGATCCCACATTTGTTGGAGAGGGGAACGAAGCATTCCTTATAAGGATGTGGAAACTTCTCCCTAGTGGACGCGTTTTAAAATCTTGAGGGAACCTGGAAGGGAAAGTCCAAAGAAGACAATATATGTTAGCAAAAGCTTAAGCTGCTACTACATGCTATCTAAGCTCATTCTACAAACGGTTATTCTATACGAGGATCGGATGCCTAAGATTTAGGTGGGCTGAAAATTCAATCCCCTTTTAAGTTCAATCTCACAAGCTGGTCTATATACTTCCAAACCATAAAACTTGTTCTTTAACTAATCAGAAAATGGCTTATGATGAACAGATTACCTAAAGCCCTTCCATGCATATGACGAGGGCAATCTCTCATGGGTTGTAAGTAGTCACCCCATGCATCAATTTGAAAGACTTCCATACATTCAACAAAAGTTTGCAAGTCATATATGTGTGCCTTGTAGGCTGCAGCAGAAGCAGAGCCCGCAACCATGTCCATGATCATGCGAGCGGTACCCACCGCCACTTCAGTAGATGAAGCCAAGAAAGTAGTATTTGGAAACTGGTTGCGTACCATTGAGGAGCATCATCTGCAGTACTCAAAGAATCCTATTCTAGACATTCTTGACATTGGCTGTTCTATAGGATTTGGTACAAGGCAGCTAGCTGATAAGTTTCCGACAGCTAAAGTGACAGTGAGTAAAATTTGCTCCCTTTTAGCTTCCCTAATGAAATTCAGTTTGGGTCGGTGTTTTATGTTTGATTCGTTTGCTATAGGGGCTTGATTTGTCTCCTTACTTCCTTTCGGTGGCTCAATACATGGACAAGAAACGAGCTCCAAGAAAGAATGCAATAAGATGGTTGCATGGAAATGGAGAAGAAACTGGCTTGCCTTCAACATCTTTTGACCTACTTTCCATTGCTTATTTGGTAAGAACTCTTCTTTGATCTAATCTCGTCCCCCAAGAAATTTTCCCCTAGAGGAGAGATTTTGAGATGGTTCACAGCTACAATTTTGAATTTAGTCCCTAATGTCTTGCAAAGATAAAAGGTTATAAGAGCCCAATTGTAGCTGCCAAGTCCACCGCTAGCAGATATTGTTGTTTTTGAGCTCTCGACTCGGTTTTAAAACGTGTCTACTAGGAAGAGGTTTCCACACCCCTTATAAGGAATGTTTTGTTCCCCTCTCCAATCGATGTGAGATTTCATAATCCACCCCCTTGGGGGCCCAACGTCCTCGTTGACACAACGCCCGGTATCTGGCTCGGATACCATTTGTAACAGTCCAAGTCCACCGTTAGCAAATATTGTCCTCTTTGGCCTCTCTTCTAGGCTTCCTCTCAAGATTTTAGAACGCGTCTACTAGGGAGAAGTTTTCATACTTTTATAGGAAATGTTTCGTTCCCTTTTCCAACTAATGGAATCTCACAATCCACCCTCTTGGGAGCCCAGCGTGCTCGTTGCATATAGCACCTGGTGTCTGGCTCTAATACTATTTGTAACAGCCCAAGTCCACCGCTAGCCGATATTGTCCTCTTTGGGCTTTCCTTTCTGGTCTTCCTCTCAAGGTTTTAAAATGCATCTGCTAGGGAGAGGTTTTCACACCCTTACCAGGAATGTTTCGTTCCCCTTTCCAACCGATATGAGTTCTCACACCAATCAAGTTCTAAACTAAAACTAAAACGTTTTCAAAATCGAAGCTAAGTTTTAAATACTAAAAGATGTTGTGAAATGAGAAATGTATTATCTGATAACGTGTAAAGTTGCTTAATAGTGACCGTGATGATTCTTGTCTATGATATTTAGTTCCATGAATGTCCCAAAGTAGCAATTGTCAATATCCTCAAGGAATCGTTTCGGCTTCTTCGACCCGGTGGCACAATTGTAATCACTGACCAAGCTGTAAGTTGTCTATGCAGCTAAGTCTTGATATGAATAAGAACAACTCATTGCTATATAACATATCTAATATAATGCATTCTATGTCTTGTGCAGTCAAAATCAAAGGCCGTTCAGGTATGATTTGATATGACAAGAGCAAAAATGTAGCTAACAAAGCTTATGAAATCTTGATCAATTTGGATATGTTTGCAGGAAATGTCTCCAGTACTTTTTACCTTATTAAAAAGCACAGAACCTCATCTGGATGAGTATCATCTTACTGATTTGGAAACAAAAATGAGCCAAGTTGGATTTGTGAATGTGACATCGAGACTCACTGACCCGAGACATGTTACAATAACAGCAACCGTTCCACTTTGATCGGTATTGAAAACTTCATCCGTTTAGACAATTTTGTACCATACATGTTTGAATGAGATTCAATCTTCAGATTACTTGCTGCTTGTCTGATTCATGTGACATGTCTTTTTGGTCCGAGAATTGTTTTAGAATCTAATGAAAGTTAGTTGTCCCGTATGTTAAGAATATGTTAAGAATTAATGAAGATTGTGATTGAGTTTGAGTTTGAGTTTGAGAATACTAGTAGGAAACGGTTCTATAGAACTCGATTTCAGAGTCGAACCGAAATTGAACTGCATGCTCAGTCAACATCAAACCAAACTGAGTTGTAAAATTTGGTTGTATGGTTTGACAAAAACACTCACAACTTGACGTAACAACTCAAGTCCACTACTAATATATATATATATATATATATATATATATATATATATATATATATATATATATATATATATATATATATATAAAATAAATTAATAGAATTATTGTTACCCAATTAAGTATCTTCCAATCCACTCAAGACCAGAATATGAATTATCCGAACTACAATTAAATATTAAAAGAATTCCTCTTCATCAGGGCCGTCAATTTATCAGACTTCTGTCTCCCCATAATAAATAAGCCTAGGATGGTTAGACATCGAAACGAACGGTTGAAGTTTGTTATAACAATACGGTTGCAATTGGTACCGGCGCAGAGGATTACGGATTACTTCTTCTATGTCCGGACCTTCAATCTTCTTTGAAGCGGAGAGGGCAACTGAAAGCGAGTTGTTTCTCGAGGCTACCAGTTTTCACATCCAATAACTCAGCTCATTTTCAGTTCACCTGAAATTTCCATATTCATTTCGATTTTCTCAATTCCGGCCTTGGTTTCAACGGATTGCTGGCCGTATTTCTTCGATCTCGATTTTGATCTCACGATCTCTCGAATCTCTTTCTTATTTCTCCATGGAGGAGAAGCAGCAGAATACGGCGAAGGATCAAGAACGCCAAGAGGATCACGAAGAGAATGAAGCAATTGAGCTTGTTCTCTTTCAAGTTTCTGAATGTTATGTCTATTTGGTGAGTAAATTATGCGCTGTGTTGGTGACAACAGAAAACTGAATTGAGATTGAGGGGAGGAGTGATTTGAGTGATAGGGAGGGAGGTCCTTTTATAGGGGATTCTCGGAATTGGTTGAGATTTTTGTGGATGATTTTGTGGATGAATTTGAATTCACCTCCTTCTTCTCTTCCGTAACTAATTCAAATTCTATTATTAGTTATTATTAGTTTCAACACCCTCCCTTAAACTAAATTCTGCGGAAATCAGTTTAGGACTTCATTTCATCTTCTTGATATACATCTTGGATTCTGCATATTCCCATCTTTCTTCTGAGCTTCTCGAACAATGGTTGTTTCAAGTGCTTTGTGAATAGGTCTACGATTTGTTCATTACTTCGGCAAAAGTTGAGTTCAATAATGCCTTCTTTACACAAATCACGCAAGAAATGAAATCGAACATCGATGTGCTTGCTCCTTCCATGCAACACAGGATTTTTAGACAACTTAATAGTTGACATATTATCACAATATATAACCGTCGTACTTGGTTGCTTCTGATTAAGAATTTCAAGCATTTTTCTTAACCAAATTGCTTGGCACGAGCATGCTGCTGCTGCCACAAATTCTGCTTCTGTCGTTGAGAGTGTTACAATAGGTTGCTTCTTTCAAGACCAGCAAATAGCTCCTGAACTCATCAAGAAAATACTTCCTGAAGTACTTTTACGATCGTCTATATCACCTGCATAGTCGCTATCTGTATAGCCAACTATCTTCGGATCATCTCCTTTTTTGTAGAATACCCCCAAATCAGAGGTTCCTCTCACATAACGAAGTATCCTTCTTGCTGCATTGAAATGTTTTTCCGTTGAATGCTCCATGTAACGACTTATCATACTAACCGCATACATGATGTCTGGTCTTGTTGAAGTTAGGTACATCAAACTTCCCACAATTTGTTTGAAGTACCTATTATCAACCTCTTGCCCGTCAATGTCCTTGTGCAACTTTAAACCCAATTCTGATGGAGTTCCAAATGTGCGCTCATCCAATTTAAATCTTTCAAGTAATTCTTGAGCATACTTCTTCTGACAGATAAAGTTACCTGCGGAAGTTTGAGTAACTTCTACTCCAAGAAAATATCTCATCAAGCCAAGATCTGTCATTTCAAATTCCTTCATCATGCTCTTCTTAAAAAATTCAAACATTTCTTCATTATTGCCAGTAAATATTAAATCATCAACGTATAAGCAAATAATGATAATTTTACCTCCCTTTTCAGTTTTCACATACAACGTATGTTCATACAGGCATTTAGTAAATCCCATCTTTTCGAAATGAGAATCAATGCGACTGTACCATGCCCTCGGAGCTTGCTTCAAACCGTACAAAGCTTTCTTCAACTTGTATATTTGTTCCTCTTTGCCTTTTTGAACAAAACCTTCTGGTTGCTCCACATATACTTCCTCCTGAAGCTCTCCATGTAAGAAGGCTGATTTCACATCAAGTTGATAAATAGGCCAAGATTTCTGTGCTCCAATAGAAATTATGAGCCTGATAGTGTCTTGACGTGCCACTGGTGCAAATACCTCCTTATAATCAATTCCATACTTTTGCTTGTATCCTTTTGCAACAAGTCGCGTCTTGTACTTATCCACCTCACCGTTTTCATTCAACTTGATTTTGAAAACCCATTTTACTCCGATTGTTTTCTGCCCTCTAGGAAGATCAGTGAGCTCCCAAGTCTTGTTCTTCTCTATGGATTTGATTTCACTGTCCATAGCTTCCTTCCATTTCTTCTCTTTTACTGCTTCTTCATAGACAATTGGATCACTATCCATAAAGAATGCAAAATAACCACTATCACTTGATTCATAATCCATCTCATAATCAATCATCCAGTTTGGTCTTTTTCTTGTTCTTGGATGTCTTTGATTATGATCATGATCTTCTTCTACTGGTTCTTCTTGTTGAGCTTGTGATGAGCTCTCTCCATGCTCATATTGAGGCTGAATAGGAGCTTCAGTTTGTTCTTCTTCAAGATCTACAGGAATCTGCTGATTCACAGTGATCTTTTCTTTCCATGTCCAAGTCTTATTTTCGTCAAAGACTACATCACGACTCACCACCACCTTCTTTGTCAAAGGATCGTAGAGCTTGTATGCCTTAGAGGTCTCGCTTACTCCAAGGAACACACACTTCGAACTCTTGTTCTCAAGTTTCTTTCTTTTCTCATCAGGAACGTGTGCATATGCTATGCACCCAAAGATTCTAAAGTGGTCTACTGCAGGTTTTCTTCCGCTCTATGCTTCTTGTAGAGTCATATCTCTAACAGAAAAGGTAGGGCTTCGATTGAGAATGTGAACGGACCACACAACAGCTTCTGGCCAGAATTCCTTCGGGACTTCTCCTTTATTTAGTAAACTTCGAACCATGTTCAGAATGGTCCTGTTTTTCCTTTCGGCCACACCATTTTGTTGTGGTGTATATGCTGTTGTTAATTGCCTCCGTATGCCCTTCTCTTCACAAAATTGAATAAACTCTTTCGAGCAGAATTCTCCACCTCTGTCCGTTCTTAAAACCTTGACTCTTCTTCCAGTTTTGGTTTTCATAGTAGCACAAATTTTTTTGAAGCAGTCAAAGGCTTCTGATTTGGCGTGCAAGAAATAAGTCCATGTTTTTCGACTAAAATCATCGATGAGGGTCATGAAATATTTCTTGTTACCATTTGATGCAGGAGAGATGGGACCACATATGTCTGAATGAATCAACTCCAAAATTGCTTGAGCTCTTCTTGATTTTCCCGATGGAAAAGAGTTTCTTTCATGTTTTGCTACTACACAACTCTCGCAAATTTCCGTTGGTGGAGTAATATCTGGCAACCCAGTTACCATCTTCTTTGAGGACAACGTCTTTAATCCTTTGAAGTGTAGATGACCATACCTAAAATGCCAAAGCCAAGTGGTATCTTCTTTCTTCACCATCAAACTTTTGGCAACGATATTTAACGTCAACGGATATAGACGGTTGGTGGTCATCTTCATCTTAGCAATCGATCCTCTTTTGGAGTCATAAATTTCACATTCATCATTTTGGAATGTGATCACATACCCCTTTTCTTGTAACTGACCGATACTAAGTAAGTTGGCCTTCAGATCAGGAATGTAGAATACATTAGAAATAGACTCTACAAAGCCATTTCTAGTCTTGATATCTACGGTTTCTTTCCCCATCACTTGGAGAGATGAATTGTTGCCAAGAGAGACCGTAGTATGAAAATTTTCATCTAAAGTTGAGAAGAATTCCTTACAACCTGTCATATGATTGCTGCATCCAGAGTCTACGACCCATACACCTTGATCTGAAACCTTCATAGCATGGAATGACATTAATAATGTTTCTTCTTCTCTCTCCACAAAATTGGATTGATTTCTTTTCTCCTTTTGGAGCCTGTTATAGCATTCATTTTTGTAATGTCCAAGGCGTCCACATCTGTAACATTCCACCTTAGACTTGTCAAAGTGTCTCTTGCCTTTGTTGTCATAATCGTTTCTGACTAGACCTGCCAACATCTCCACTTCTTTCTCGACTGCCTCTCTCACGACCTCTGCCTCTTCTTTGCCCTCTACCTCTAGAGCTTGAAATTTCACTTGGTGTGGATATCTTTAAGGCTGTCATCTCCTCTATTGCACTTGTACGATTGAGCCTCTGCTCATGTACTAACAGGGAGCTTTGGAGTTCATCTATTTGCATTTCCTCGACATTGTTTGCTTCTTCGATAGAACATACAATGTAATCGAACTTTGGTGTTAGTGATCGCAAAATCTTTTCTACGACCGCAACATTTGTGATTGAACCACCATGCATTCTCATTTTACTTGCAAGATTTATAACCTTGCCATCCCTTTTGCATTTGGAGAATTTCAAAGTCTCTCCTAACTGTGTAGTTGAGCACGTTTTACTCTCGTTGAGCCTTGATACTTCTTCCTCATAGAGTCCCAAATTTCTTTGGATGTCTTCTTCTGAAGCATTGTTTCCAAGATAGTCCTATCAATGGACTGAAATAAATAGTAGACCTTCAGGTCCTTCAACTTTGATGCTGCCAACAGTTGCTGTCGATCAGCTGAGAGTACCTCGCCTTCATTTGGCTCTTCATAACCTGTTTCCACCATATCAAAGAACTTCTTTGATCTGAGAAAATTTTCCATCAACATCGCCCAATGATCATAGTGACCGTCGAACCTCGGGATGGCGGGCTGAACGTAGTTCTCAACTTGTTTTTCTGCTGCCATTTTTGGTGCTGCAAGATCGCTCTGATACCAGTTGTTGGTGACAACAGAAAACTGAATTGAGATTGAGGGGAGGAGTGATTTGAGTGATGGGGAGGGAGGTCCTTTTATAGGGGATTCTCGGAATTGGTTGAGATTTTTGTGGATGAATTTGAATTCACCTCCTCCTTCTCTTCGGTAACTAATTCAAATTCTATTATTAGCTATTATTAGTTTCAACACGGTGCACGTCACAAAATCCAAGTTTTTAGATCTGATGCAGAAATCTGAGCTTTCTGTGGACTTCTTTTGCGATTAGCCAAATGTGAAGTAGTTGCTTGCACCATAGTTGATTATATATATACTGTTGGGAATTTCTGATATCATGTTTGGCTTTTTTGTGCATTTGTCGTATCAGTATCTTCCCTTTGTGAAGGTTTTTCTTTTTCTTCCTGTGCTTACGTCCTATTCTACTTTTTTAAATCATGCAATTGAGATATCTTAGTAATTAACATGTATGTTGCTACTGTTTGATAACTTGTTGGTGCGTGTAATTTGTGGTGCCGCATTTCTGCATCCACATTTGGCCTCTTGTTGGGATAATGTTCATATGAATAATGCGAGAAAACTAATGTAATGTATCAGCTGTTTTTTCTGTACAAATACAACAAGATAGTTTCGTGTGTACGATAATATTAGGTTCTGTTGGTTATAATTTTTTCTAGTAAACCTTATTGTCTTTTTTAATGATTTCCTGCAGATACCGCCAAGAAAAAGTGCAGCTTCCTACAGGTTTTTCCCTTGATTTACAATGGATAATAGTGTGACTTGCAATATGATCTTGATGTCGTACAGAAGCCCTGTTGATGAATTTTATGTCCCCTAGATCAATTTGGTGATTCATTATTTAGCTTTCCAACATAAATGTCTGCTGATGACTTTTAATTATAATTATTAAAAGAATTTGAAAGTACACACCAACGAGATGCCTGGAATTTAGCTAGATCTAAAAATATCTCCCAAGACGTGCACTTATCTTTGAAGAGCTCTATGCCCACTCAGTAGCTGTTCAAACATTGAATAATGGGAAAATGCTACATGTCATGTTGTCCATCGACTACGCCTTTCGGCCTGATCTTAGGTCCTGACTCACCCTCCGTGGACGAACCTTGCGGAGGAACCCTTAGGTTTTCGGGGCATTGGATTCTCACCAATGTTTGCGTTACTCAAGCCGACATTCTCGCTTCCGCTTCGTCCACCACTGCTCGCGCGGGTGCTTCCCTCTAAGGCGGAACGCTCCCCTACCGATGCATTTTTACATCCCACAGCTTCGGCAGATCGCTTAGCCCCGTTCATCTTCGGCGCAAGAGCGCTCGATCAGTGAGCTATTACGCACTCTTTCAAGGGTGGCTGCTTCTAGGCAAACCTCCTGGCTGTCTCTGCACCCCTACCTCCTTTATCACTGAGCGGTCATTTAGGGACCTTAGCTGGTGATCCGGGCTGTTTCCCTCTCGACGATGAAGCTTATCCCCCAGAGTTACATCTCTTTTCTATTTCCATTCCAGAGTTTTTATGTGTTTCCACGCCCCTTCGAGGCAATAGTACTTCAATTCAAAAGCAAAGTAGGCTGATTTTCTTTTCCTTGATATCTGCTTCCACTCATTGGTTGTTTCATTGTGATTATTCTCATCTTTACACGTTCTTTTTTGTTACCAACAGAAAAGCACTAGCAACACCAAGAAGTCTTCTGAGCTAGATGTGAAGGTTTCCCCACCAGAAGAAGAGGGCAACACAAAAAAAGAGTCCATTTTTTGCATCAAACCACCTCCACCTCCTCCAGCTCTTCTTTCACCTGTTGCAGCTCAGAAGTCTCTTACGAATGTACCACCAAATATCAATCTGGAAGATCCTTCCAACCACAAGATTGCAGAACCAGCAAGAGAAGACTCCAATGATGCTGAAGGTCAAAGCACACTTGATTTACCTGATGACGACTTTGGAAATTTCCAGGCAGCTGAGTGATGGCATGGAATGTGTACATTCTCGAATACCCAAATCGATCTTCGGTTTTCAGTAGATCGCGTGCTACAAATTGCTTAGATTTCACAAGAGATCTTATGTGTTGTTATTAACCTTGTTGTGAAATTAGCATGAAGAGTTGTGATTATACCATGCCTCAGCGGTTCAGTTATAACTGTGTGATGAAGCCAAGCAAAGAGACCAATGGAAATATGTAATATCATGGAAATTTTCTGTTTTATTTCCGTATAACTTTTTTTTAGATGAACGGAGTGAAAAATTAAACCTCTCATCTTTTAGTCGAAATTATATTATCTTTAACCAATTAACGATATTCATGTCAACATATGATCAACGGATACAAGCAAAAGTGGCCATTTGGATAGTATATTGTTGTTTGTAGTCAATTTTTCATTAATTATTGCTAGTGTGACAATTTGTTTTATTTTAAAAAATACTTAATATATACCTTGTGACCGCAAAGCTTTATTTTTAATATAAATATATCATTACATTAAATTTGGTTAATAATTAATTGAAAATTTGGGATAAAAATCAAAATGCTATCAAACTCAAATTAAAAAAATATATATACTTTTAAAGTTCTACGAGATATAGAGGGGAGAATTCGAACCTCTAAAGAGATGGTGCTATATGTCACGGTCATGCTCGTCCAGGGCGTGTTGCCCATGGCCGCATGCCTATGGCAAGCCAAACCCTTGTCATGTCTTTTCATTCTAGTGTTTTTACTTTTGTAGTTCTAGGGCATATGACGCCTCAAAAATAGCATGTCTAGGCCTGCCAGACATGAAATGCCTCAAAATGTACTATAGGGGATATGACTAGTTGTCAAATTCTCCCTACCCAAGGTTATATATGCTAACCTGTTGTTATCTCTCTCTTGTTTGCTATATAACGTCTCTTTCAAAAATCTCTCTTTCTAAAATCTCTCTCTACCCTCGTTTTCCTAAAACCTTCTTTTAAAACCGAGGCTAGAGGCTTGATCATACGTCGCTTAGCCGTAGGCGACGCAAGTACAAATTGGCTTAGCTCACTTGTCGTTGGAAAGTGAGTGCCGCACAATCGCTAGTCCGCTACCTTTAAACGTGCGATTGTGTCACTATACTCGTGTTAAAAGAAAATGAGTTAATATAAAAGTTAAATCCTACATCAATTCTCTATAATTGAGGTTAATTCTCTATAATTGAGGTTAAGCATAAGTTGGTAAGCCAAAATTCTAGAGGATAATAGGATTTTCCATTTTCTCTTGTATTGACACGTGGCAGGAATTCTCTCTCTTCTCTCTCTCCTCCTCGATTTTCCGTCCCTGTATTCATTCTTACATTGGGCCTTCGAAATCCAAGTTGTGATGATCCCATAAATTTTAGTCCCTTTCTTAATCTTTTGGCTTCTGGGTATCGTGATTGACCCTTTTCTGCTATTACAAAGTGTTGAAGTTTCGAGGTTCGGCAACCAAACCTTAAGCCCTTGCTCTCTTCATCATCTTGCTTTTATCTTCCTCTTATCAACTCTTTTTTCCCTGATCATCTCAATTTTGTTTGATTCAGCTTACCACTTCTGTGTTTTGTTCATATTCATCTTTATCTACTTATCTAGATGATGTGTTACTGTACTGTATAAAAATATGTTCGTTTTGGAGATGTTTTTTTGATGATCACAGTAAATACGGCTGGAATTTTCATGAACTTCTCTCCAAGTGCTTTGTTTCTGTCTTTTTCTTAGTGGGTAGGCTGTTTTAGTGGCTGATGAATTTCGAATGTCAATTTTTGTGGCTTACATTTGTTAATTAATGAGGATCAGAGTCTGTTTTCTGCACAGATTCCGTAGCTTGTTATAATTATTTTGAAGATTTTGGTGTTTTGAATTTGAAGCTATGAACATTCTGGGCTTGGTTCTTCCGCCTTCCAATCCATTCCCCATACTCTGGATTGCAGAGAAATATCGCTGTTGGGACATGCCCTCTTGTACATAGCCCCTACCATGTACTGATTGTGTCAATGATATGTCAAACAATATAGATTGGAGAAGAGAATTTGTAACGGCTTAAGTCCACGTCTAGATATTGTCCTCTTTGAGCTTTTTCTTTAAGGGATTCACCTTGAGGTTTTAAAACGTGTCTGTTAGAGAGAGGTTTCCACACTCTTCCAACCGATGTGTGATCTCACAATCCACCCCCCTTGGAGGCGTAGCGTCCTTGCTGACACACTGTTTGGTGTCTGGCTCTGATTTCATTTGTAACAGCCCAAACCCACTACTAGCATATATTGTTTTCTTTGGACTTTCCCTTCAAGGGCTTCCCCTCAAGGTTTTACGACGCTTCTGTTAGGGAGAGGTTTCCACACCTTATATAAGGAATGCTTTGTTGGTTTTAAAACGCGTCTATTAGGGAGAGTTTTTCACACCCTTATATAAGAAATTCTTTGTTCCCCTCTCCAACCAATGTGGGATCTCACAATTCACCTCCCTTGGAGGCCTAGCGTCCTCGCTGGCACACCGCTTGGTGTCTGGCTCTAATACCATTTGTAACAACCCAAGCCCACCACTAGTAAATATTGTCCTCTTTGGCCTTTCCCTCCAAGGGCTTCCTCTCAAGATTTTAAAACGCGTCTGTTACAAAGAGGTTTCCACACCCTTATAAAGAATGTTTCGTTCTCCTCTCCAACCGATGTGGGATCTCAAATAGGTAATCTTTTATGCCAATATGAGAGTAGCTTTTGTATGATATGGAAAGATCATCCCTAAATGCTCATTAAAAGATAGTTGCCTAAGCATGTTTCAAGAACAGCTCTTCCTGGCTTCGGCTTGCACTTGATTTGGTATGATAATGAGGTAATTACAATTTGTTCTAGTAGAACATTTGATCTATATCATACTACTACTTTTGCTAGATGGTATGCCTTTGAGTCTCAGATGATCCGGTCTATCTATTCTCCAAACGGAACTAAGACGATCGCGTCTATCTTAAACCTTTAATCGTGCACTTTTAGCATTGCCTACTGCTCTTGATCTTCAGAACCAAATGTGGGAGCATTGCAGCAACAATGACTTCATTTTTGTTTGTTGCTCCTGATTCATGTTTCATTAATCTGATTTTGAAGTTCATTGAGGAATTAAGGTTCCAACCTTCATATTTGCCACTTTTTTTGGGTTCTTTCTATATATTATCATTATCAGTACTATTTACCATAATTATTGCTTATGGTTAGCAACATATTGGATTACAATTTTTGATCGAATGTAATCATTGTTTACTCGCACGATCTTATATTCAACAAATATGTTGCGCCTTGCAGACGAGAGTAGCATCATCTAAATCGAAATGGATGTAAAAGGCATTGCTTGGGTCGGGCGTTTGTATGAAAAGTTCGAAACTATGTGCCTCGAGGTCGAAGACATTATATGTCAGGTGGGCATTTTGATTCATCTGTCTACTCCTTCACCTCTGGTTCCCGTACCTAATCAACTCGTTCCTTGTCCAAGTCGTCTAAATGTTTAATTTCGATTTGTTTCGTGTCTTAGATGTCATTCTTCCATTAACTTGGTCTACCCTTTTCTCCTTATCTTGAGACAGGACACTGCTAAATATGTTGAGAATCAGGTGGAAGTAGTTGGGGCAAGTGTCAAAAGGTTCTATTCTGATGTCATGCAAGATTTTCTTCCCCAATCTGAATTGAGTGATGAGAAGGTGGCTGTTTGTAATGCAGCTCTTGACAATTATGAAAATGTCGTTATATGTAAGAAACCAATGGTCGGTATGAAGATAGAGCGTTCAAAATCAACTGAGAACTCGAGAGGAACTGCTGATACCATACGAGATAAGGTACATCAGCGCCCACGTGGACCGAACCGTGCCAATAATCCCGATTTGGTATCTTCTCCATATTCTGCTACTAGAGCCCAAATTGATGTGTGTTCCAGAGAAAAGGATGATGACAATATACATCTTAAGCTAGACCTCGATGGTCGAGACTCTACGACAAAAGGATGCAAGTCTGAGAAGAAATATGCAAATGATGCATCATCATGCTGTGCAATCTCTAATAGAAAATCTGAAGCTTCAAGCGAGCTGGCTGGTAATATGGAAACGACCATGTCGGTTAAAGGCACGAGGTTTAATTCAGCGATGCAAAGTTCTAACGAGACCGAGACTAAATCTGATGACTTATTACATGCTGTTTCATCAAATTTCATTGTGGATGCTGAGGAGACAAGACTTCTATCTTATGGTGATTCATCAGCAGAGTTAGATGGTATGTTTCAGCTTTTTCATGTCATACTTTCTCTTGCACTTGTTTGGCTGCTGGAGATGTTTCAACCATTTATGGGTCAGTTATAGTGAGATAATCCTTTTTGAATAGGGTGTTTTCGGGGGAAACTTCTTGTAATAATCTAAGCCCACTGCTAGCAGATATTGCCCGTTTTGGTCCGTTACTTATCACCATCAGCCTCATGATTTTAAAACGTCTCTACTAAGGAGAGGTTTTCACTCCCTTGTAAGGAATGTTTCGTTCCTCTATCCAACCAATGTGGAATCTCACAATCTACCCCCTTTGGTGGCCCAGCATTCTCGCTAGCACACTGCTAGGTGTCTGGCTCTGATACCATTTGTAATAGCCCAAGCCCACCGCTAGCCGATATTGTTCACTTTGGCCCATTATGTATTGTCGTCAGCCCCACAGTTTTAAAACGCATCTATAGGGAGAGGTTTTCACACCCTTATAAGAAATGTTTCATTCCCCTCTCCAACCGATGTAAGATCTCACAATCCACTCCCTTTGGAGGCCAGTGTCCTCACTGGCACACCACTCGGTGTCTGGCTCTGATATCATTTGTAACAGCTCAAGCCTACCGCTAGCATATATTGTCTACTTTGTTCCGTTACATATCGCCGTTAGCCTCACAGTTCTGAAACGCATCTATTATGGAGAGGTTTCCACACCCTTATAAGAAATATTTCATTCCCCTCTCCAATCGATGTAGGATCTCACAATCTACTCCCTTTAGCAGCCCAGCGTCCTCACTGGCACACTACTCAATGTCTGGCCCTTATACCATTTGTAACAGTCCAAGCCTACCGCTAGCATATATTGTCTATTTTGGCTCTATCACGGTCAGCCTCACAGTTTTAAAATACATCTACTAGGGAGAGGTTTTCACACCCTTATAAGAAATGTTTCGTTCCTTTCTCTAACTAATGTGAAATCTCACATTCTTGAAGCGGGTTGTAGTTATCTTTCAGCAAAATTGCATAAAAAGGTCATGAAAGATGCTGATAAACTCATAGACTTAGGCCAACCAGACCACCCCCATGATCACCTCTCTTGAGCTTTTCTTGCCTCTGTTTTTAGCTTGCTGGTGCACTTTAGCTCCTCACAACAAAGAGCCATTCAACTGTCTGGTGAATAATTTCATTGTAGTGAGCTGATAAACTTGGTTTGAATTGTATTTTACACAGCAAGATCAGATTCTTGGAGTCTTGATGAAATTGAGCTTGAACATGGAACACACAACATTCAACCAGCTGACGAAACAAATCTGGACGAAGAAGCATGCGTCTTAGTGAACGGAGACGACGTTCATTTCGATTCCAACGAACAACTCAAACATAAGCATTACAAGGTACTCTATTCGCACTCTCCTCGTAACATAATCCAACTCCGACTTGCAGGGTTGTCCAGTTAGTTCAGTTTCATTCATCTTTCACTGAGACGTCTACTTTTCCCCAAGAAGAAGATAACCGGAGCATTTTCTTTCACAAAGAAGTCAAAGAGGAAGCAAGAATACAAAGAGCTTGCAGTGAAGCATGGCTATGGCTTCACTACCATCCCAAACCAGCAACACGAACAGAAACTACCGGCCGGAGACGTCTCGGAACACGATTGGCAGCTTCTCTAAGCTCGGAATCGATATTCTTGAATGAACAGTATGTAAATTGCTAAGGTGAGAAATCCAGAAGAACAAATATCAGAAGCATTATCTGTTGTCTTATATAAAAGTGGTATCCTGTGAGTGTATCATAATTAATTACATCCTAAAACAATGTTACTTTAATTCATATGCTTATAATGAATGTTTGTGCATAGTTTTTCAAGATTTGAGTTTACTTTTGCTTCTGGGTTCTGCTTAACCTGTTAACTACATGTTTGAAATGACTTTTTAAGAGTGTAAAAACTTCTCCCTAGTAGACACGTATTAAAACCGTGAGGTTAACGGCGATACGTAACTGGTCAAAGCGGACAATATGTGCTATAGGTGGGTTTGGGCTGTCACAAATGGTATCAAAGCTAAATACCAAACGGTGTGTCAACAAGGACGTTAGGCTCTAAAGGGGGTGAATCGTGAGATCCCGCATTGGTTGGAGAGGGAAGGAGGGTGTGGAAGGACAATATCTACTAGTAGTAGACTTAGACGGTTACAGAAATGCTAAAATTGTTTGATATTAGACACTACAATACTGATTAAAATGTATAATATAAATTATGTGTACGAATTTTTAAACTTTAAAAAATATATATAATTTATTACTTTTTGGTGATATTATATTAATAATTAGAGATTTGAGGGTTAATGACGTGTTTAACGTAAATGATGAGAAAAGAAAAACATTTCTTAGAAAGCAACTTTCACTACAATCAATGCCACTGGGCCGGACTTTTGTAGGCAACTATGGCCCACTTGGCCCAATTAAATGTTTTATTTATTTATTTATTTTATTTTCTTAATTTGTTAATTATTAAACTTGACTTTAAAGATTCAATATTCTTCCCCCTTTTGTTTCTTTTTTTCCACCAGACGCCGAAAAGGGAACTTTCCGGATAAGACTTCAAATGGCTTATAGCTAAGCAGTGCTGTGTTTCTTATGGTGGGACCCACCCATTTGCACATACACTAATTTTCCCACTGTCTCATTATGGGCTCAAAATTAGCCCTTTTTTATATTGGTTTCTTCCGAATCTAATCTTGTTCGACCATACGTGTTGCATGCGCATGCATGTTCAATTGACTTGCCTCTGTAGTATGTTAAGTCATTTAGCTCAATCTTGTCTCTACTTTGAATTCAACGTCACCTTTCATGATGTCATCTTAGTTCTCAATCAACATAGTTCATATGTCTTCACACCATCTAAATTTAAGGGGTGTCATCGATCATCGCAATTCACTCGGTCAGGTCATTGAAAATGAGCCCACATGTCGTTCATCTCTTCGAAACAAATGAAAAAGTAAGGTTTATAAGATTAATTTTCTAAATTAACAACGTTGTTATAAAATTTTGAAAATGTTAATGGATTGAATTGCAATTAAAAATGATTGATTGGCTTTTTCCTTTTTTAAAATTTTTGGTTGAAAATAATGGAATTTGGAACCCCACAAACAAACGTGCCCTTAACGAAACTACATAAAACAGAATAGAAACATGATGAATCATGAATTATGGTATTATTTGTTGTCCTTTTACCAACTTGTCTTGTGGTTGTGCTGATCCAACTTCCAAGCGTGGCGGCTGCCGGATGGGTGTCTTGTGGTTGTGCTGATCCAACTTCCAAGCGTGGCGGCTGCCGGATGGGTGTCTTGCGGTTGTGCTGATCCAATTTCCAAGCGTGGCGGCTGCCGGATGGGTGTCTTGTGGTTGTGCTGATCCAACTTCCAAGCGTGGCGGCTGCCGGATGGGTGGGGCACCCCACACCAATCACCACCCCTCCCCCCGCTATGTGTCGACAGTCTGTACCATTCATAACCTATCGTTAATTTTAAATAAAAATCGTTAATATTTTTTAAATTAACCAAAAATATCACTCATCTACATTTACAAATTCATTAAATAACAATAAAATAATTATTTATTATTTCAATAAATTTTAAATATTAGAAATCTTCATTATATTATAACAAACTAATATATTATATTTAACGCTATAATATAATAGGATGAAAATTAAAACTCCAACAATTAGTACAAATATATTTTTTAAAAAAATTAATAATAAATAAAGTAATTATAATAATTTACTCTTTCTTGATATATACATGAGATCCAACATCAATCTTTTTATAATATTTAGCAAAAATAATTAAAATATATTTATATATTTATGATATGTTTTGATTGGGAGAGACAAAAATTTATTTTAAAAAAAAAAAAAAAAAAACAGTTTTTTAACTCCGAATATTGAGGCTTCTATTTAATGGCATGTGGCAATTATTTCGTCTCTTATGATTTTATATTTATTTATTAAATTTATTAATTAATTTCGAAATTAGAGCAAAAGCCAACGGCTGAGATTAAAGAGGTGAAAACTTCCATGAAGATTCATTCTGTATTATTGCTTCAATCATTTCCTAAATATCCAATTTTTTATTCACTATGTATTTTTTAAATATTTAAATATTTGACAAATCATTCATATCTTTCAAAAGAGCGAGTTGAACTATTACTGCTTTCACGGTAAACAACATCTCTTTTCTTTTCCTTCCAATCTTCATAGTTCATCTAGATTTTAGAAGCTAAACTCAAAAAGGGTATCTCGATAAACATCGGTATATTGTCTATCACTCGGTTTTTCCTATCAGTGCTTGTTTGTCCACTCGTTTACTACTAGCTTTTCCCGTTAGTTTTCAATTTCAAATATAAAAGCGTGACATCCCACACGTTTAGACTTCAAGATGACGACGATACATATATAGTGTAAATTATTTGATGGGTTGTAATACATGACGTAGATCGTGATAATGATGAAGAAGTTGAATATGTTGAATGCATTTGTTACATGCATGTGAGGGTTGTTGATGGATAAATATCATCCATGAATTAAGAAAAAGAAAAGCATTATAAAGTAGTGGACATGTGAAAGGATTAAAAATGTATGTCATTTTCATTTTACCATATGCTCCCACCACCTTTGGGACTGTCATGAACACCCCAATCTTAAACCAAAAAGACATAGAATCCTTATCAAACAAGGGCCACAATTATATATATATATATATATATATATATATATATATATGAATAACGACAACAAATGTGCGAGTTTATGGCTCTAAAGTTTTTATTTTTTATTTTTAAAATTTGGGTTATTTTTAAAAAATATATAATAAAATAAATAAAATTAATTTTGACGAGTTAAAAAATAAAATTAAAAAAAAATGGAGGCCATGAGCGAATATTCTTATTATTTTACGTGTAGATAATAAAATATTATAATTTATTAAATTAAAAAAAAAAAATTGGCATATAATAAGACAATGGATTATTAATTATTATTTGTTATACCAAAAGACTTTTGTTTGGGTAAGCAATTGACTTGAGAAGTCATTCATTACACTGACAACTCATTCTTGGACTTCCACCTATTTCCATATTATTCATTTCATTTTCTTTCCCAATTTAAATTAATTTATTATTTTATATCGTATAAAATTTTATTATAATAAATTTAAAGAGAATCATGTTCAAATAATAATCGGTCAATTATATATAGATAAACTATAAATACGACCCTTTATACCGTGCTTTTTGCATAATATTTAATCACACAATGTTTAATTTTTTTAATATATATATATATATATATATATCAAAAGCTTTGCTTGTAAGTTATTATATTTGGACTTTAATTTTGGTGGGATGAAATAATTGCAATCATTAATCGAACAGAAAATATTCTACATGATCAATTGAGAGTTTGGCTTTTAGAGAGGCCTTATGTTCGGGAATTAAAATCTGGGTTCGGCACTTATTGCCTTTGATATCTTTCTACATCTTCTGCGATCGATCACGTTACCTATTCCTCACTTCTTACGAGCGAACACTATTCCTACAAAACCAACACGAGTCCTTGTTTTTATGTATCTTAGAAAAAATTTCAATAGGGTAGAGATTTTATAATCGAGTTATCGAAAATAAATGTGATGCAGTGATTATCGCTTATTCATGCGTGTTCCGTTCATTGATATATATAATTTTTATTTTATTTGGTAGGTTGATATAAATGCGATGTTAGCAGCCCAGATTTGATTGGCTGAGATGGGCCCACGACATTAAAGAAGTAACAGGATGTTTCTTTTAACGTGTAGAAGATGGACCAAACCTAATTAAAAAAGATTATAATCAATAATAGAAAATAGTATATATTATAAATTTACAGTATAGTTTTATTTTCTCTCTCAGCTTAAAAAAAATAATTCTTATAAAATGAGAAATTTTCAAAATGAAAAAACTATATAGTAATTAGTAAATTAAAAGAAAAGGACTTTATGTAGGAATATTATAAAGTTAACAGAGCATAAAGGTAAATGAAAAAGAATCCTTTTTATAAAAGTTATTTTTATTTATAATAATTCTAAATTCTATTTTGATCATAGTCTGATGTTGCTGTTCCTTTTTTGTTTGTTTTTTTTTTCTTTTTTTTTTAAAAAATATATATTTTCGTGGTTTTCGTTATGTGAATGAGGATAAAATATCCTAAAATGATCTAGGATCGATCTTAGCTCTTCATTTTCAGTGGTTTAATCATAAAAACTTTAGATACGATCACGTGAACAAGGACAAAATACTCTTAAAGGGTATGCATTTATTTGCGATGATAGTCTTTTCTAATACGTTTAAGTCAAGTAGGTAACGTGGTCATGTTACCGTTGTTAAAGTCGAACTTTAAATTCATCAAGAATTAGGTTTCGAATTTGGATTTTAAATTTTGGGTATGAATCATTAACGAGTGTACTCGGATCGACCGTGGAAACACTTATTAAAAAGTCAAAGGTTCGATTTGAGCTCAACTTTTATTAGACTTTAAAAAAAAAAAAAAATGGGAAAGCAAGCATGGTTTAAATTTGGTGTTCTTCTCTCTCTCTCTCCTTTTGATATTATATAAAGCAGATGGTTAAGACAAGATTTCACCCACTCCCTCACTTCTTTAAGCTCCAAAAAGGGCAAAGAAGGAAAATTGCAGGGTGCAGCAGGGGATCGCAGCCCAAGAACAGAGCAATGGGTTTCTTATTCCCAGCTGCGATTCTAGCCCTCTCCATTTTCCTCCACCAAACAAATGCACAAATTACGAACACTACCCTTGCCGCCGTCGCCGGAAACCTAGCCGGAAGCTGCAACCTGTACCAAGGGAAATGGGTTTTCGACTCTTCTTACCCTCTGTACGACGCCTCCACTTGCCCCTTTGTAGATCCACAGTTCAATTGCCAGAAGTACGGCCGTCCCGACAAGTCGTACCTGAAGTATCGGTGGCAGCCATCCGCCTGCGCCCTCCCCAGGTAATCACATAAAACGACGACATGTAGTCCGGTGGGGGATTTTTGAAGCGATTAAGGTTTGGGGGTTGTTGTGTGAATTGCAGGTTTAATGGGGTGAGGTTCTTGGAGAAATGGAGAGGGAAGAAGATAATGTTCGTGGGGGATTCGTTGAGCTTGAACCAGTGGGAATCACTGGCTTGTATGATCCATGCATGGCTGCCCAATTCCAAGACCACAGTTTTCAGGACAAATGCCCTTTCTTCCATCACTTTTCAGGTAACCCAACAAAACCAAGAGCTCTGTTTTTTTTTTTTTTTCTTTTTTTCATAAAATTAATGATGTTTTTTTAAACAAGAAAACTGTTTTATCCATATTTAAAAAAATTAATTTGTAAAAATGAAAATTTCGTGAGGTAAATCAAGATCCAGAACATAAATGTGATTATTACAAGTCACGACAACTAATTATATTTAAAAAAAAGGGGGAAAAACGTTTAATTTAAAGATTTATTTTTAATTTTTTCCAAAATAATATTTTATTTAAAATTTAATAAAAGGGTTTTGTGTCAGTGAAAAGTGGAGCGTGATTGGCGGTTGACAACTTGTGACCTTCTTCAATTTTTATTCCCCAACTTAGTTTATGTTTTATTTAATGTTGAATTTTGCCCATTTTATTTAAAAAATTAATAGATTATTCATAACTAATAATATATTTTTTTAGACAATATTTAATATTATGGGTGTAAATTTATTAAATATATTATTTTTACTATAATGTGGGTATAAAAAAATATGTGGATTTAGAGGAAGAAGAAAATAATTGCAATGTCATACCCAATTCTTAATTGGGCAGTAAATAACCTAACGTAAGTGGTTACCATAGCTTTCAATCCATTCCTTCAAAGTTGGTTTGTTATTATTACCATTATTACCGCGCCAGTAGATATTATAGGTTTCATCAAATTTTTTAAAATGCGTATATAAAGAAGAGGTTTCAACATTTCCTCTTCAATTGATACGCGATGTCATAATCCACCTCATTCGAGCCACAACATCCTCGTCGGTACTCGTTCCCTTTCTCCAATTGATGTGGGACCTCCTAATCCACCCTCTTTCGAGGCCCAACATCCTTACTAGCACACTGTCTCATGTGTACCCTTTTGGGACTCACCTCCTTGTTGACACATTACTCGGTGTTTGACTCTAATACCAATTGTAATGGCCCAAGCCATTACTCGGTGTTTTTAGAAATGTATTAAATAAAATATGAATGAAAGTGCAGGATTACGGAGTGGAGCTATGGCTGTACCGAACGCCGTACCTGGTGGACATGGTGAACGAGAAGATCGGACGCGTTCTGAAACTTGACTCTATACAGAGCGGCAACGCCTGGAGAGGAATGGATATGCTCGTCTTCAACACTTGGCACTGGTGGACTCACACTGGAAGTTCCCAGCCGTAAGTCATTACAAACTAAAGCTATTCAATTCTTCTTCAATTCTTGTGCTTATGAATCTGGTTTCAAATGGGGAACGAACCAGGTGGGATTACATTCAAGACGGCAACAGAGTGGTGAAGGACATGAACCGGTATGTAGCCTATTACAAAGGTCTCACCACTTGGGCCAGATGGGTTAATCTCAATGTGGATCCTACTAAAACCAAGGTTTTCTTCCTGGGGATCTCCCCAACCCATTACGTGTAAGTGAATCCTGTACTTATAGTGATTTGAACCAAGATTAATAGAAAATGGGCTGAAAGAGGAATTGGTTTCAGTGGCAGAGATTGGAGCCAGCCGGCGAGATCGTGCTCCGGCGAAACAGAGCCTTACTTCGGAGGAAGGTATCCGGCGGGGACGCCGATGGCATGGGTGGTGGTGAACAAGGTTCTGAGTAGGATTAAGAAGCCGGTGGTGTTCCTCGACGTCACCACTCTGTCTCAGTACAGGAAGGACGGACATCCGTCGGCATACAGCGGGGATCACAGCGGCACCGATTGTAGCCATTGGTGCCTTCCTGGTTTGCCTGATACCTGGAACGAGCTATTGTACGCGCGTCTGTTTACCTGAAAGTATCGTAAAAAACCGATTCATAGATTTCTGTTTGTTCTTCGTTTTCGTTTTTGAATGCGTAGGGAAAGAAGAAGAATAAGGATTAGAAATTAATTTAATTTGTAATTGTAAATTGAATTGTTGTTTGTTGAAAGGTGGGTTTGAGTTGGAGAATGAATTGGATTGGGGGATGCATTTACCTAAATCCATCACTTTCTTCCAACATTAGATTTGGAACACACTCACAAATACTTACTTTTCCTATATTCCATCTTTTTGTTCTTTTTTCCAATATATGTTCGGACCAATTTGCATTCCAAAAACTTATAATAATATCAATTAAACATTAAATTTCTAATCAATTTGATCACCAACGAAATGGAGAGAAGAACATTACCAGGCCTTAACAGGCAGCGATATTTTTCATTGTCTATTCTTCGTAATAATCGTCCTTTAGGAATTTTAATAGTCTTTATTTATTTATTATTTTTTTTTTTTTTCTGTTTTTGTATGTAGCTTTTACGTTTTATGACAGACTAGCGGGGCATATGAAGAAAACTCTTGTGAATTTTGTAGAGCCAAACCTTTCAGCGAAGGAGAGTCGAGACCTAACCTTCTTCCTCTGTAAGCAAAGGGAGAACGAGAATCCTTTCTAACATAAAGGGTAAAAAGAATCTTGGGGCTGTAAGAATGTGTCGGAAAGAAATCGAAGGAAATCCCTGAAACAAATTCTATCCTCAAATCAAACGTGGCAAATGCAGAAAAACTCCACCTGTCAACTGAGTTGCTTAGTCACCTCAGTCAGTCGGCTACTTCCATTCCACCTGGCCATTAACACCGACACGTCCTCCTCCATTGCAGACCCTCTCTGTCTTATTTACACCCATTTCCATCCATTTTCAAAATCTACTTCGAACATAGAAACAATACAAACCCCACAGAGAGAAAAAAAAAAAAAAAGATGGCCGCAGAGCAATTGAGCCGCAGAGATAACACCACGAAGGAAAGAGAAATTCAGGTGGAGAAAGAGAAAGTACCACAGTTGACGAGCCACTTCGAGGCCATAGCAGTGCAGTGCAAAGCCGCAACTCCAGAGAAAACTCATGAATTGGCTAGTGACGGGGGAAAAGAGGCGCAGGGTACCAGCATAGCCAAAGGGGCACTTCCGGGAAGAGAGGTGAGACGGAGTATTGCAGAAGGTGAAGTTGGAGGTGGAAAGCCAGATGATACCCATGAATTGGCTGCTCAATTTGATTCTCTTGCAGAAAAAGTAAGAGACAAGAGAGAGACAGACACAGAGAATGAAAGGAAGAGGCGAGCACGTGCGGATAAAGAGCGAGAGCAGAAAGGATCTCGAATAGGAGAGGAGCAAAGACTCTCAGAACAGAAAAAAGGGAAAGAGGGTGATATAGGGTCTCGCCAAAATCAACCATCTCTTGAAGAAATTTCAAATGTCAGAGCTACAGAACAGGAGAAATCGAACAAGGCGACAATGGCTGCGAAGGAACGTTATGACGAAGCCAAGAAAGAATCGCTCAACCAAGGAGTTGGGGCTAGAACAGAGGAGTCGGATCAGAGAGGCACAGAAGGAGCTGAGGACACAGTTGAAGAGAAGGGCCAACAGACAGGTTTAGGGGCAGTGGAGGAGACACTAACTAGTGCAGCCAAAACAGCAAAAGATTACACTGTGCCAATAGCAGAGAAGGCGAAGGATTACACAGTCCAAAAGGCTGTTGAAGCCAAGGACATTACAGTCACTGTAGGTCAAACAACAGCTCATTACCTTGGAGAGAAGGCAGTGGCGGCTAAGGATGTTGTAATAGGTGGTGGAAAAGTTGCAGCTGAATACGCTGGCAAAGCGACTGAGGATCTGAAGGATAAGGCGGTGGTTGCAGGGTGGAGCACAGCCCATTACTCATGTGACACGGCAGTGGAAGGGACAAAAGCAGCAGCAAGGCTCGTGAAGGGAGCTGCAGAGCAGGCTGGAGCAATAGCAGCCAAGCCATTGTCCGCTGCAAAGACTGTTGCTGAATCAACCGGGGAGAGTGTGAAGGAGTACACAGCTAGGAAGAAAGAAGAAGCACAGAGAGAATCTACGTACAAGCAAGCTGAGAAAGAATCCATGTATGAGAAAACTAAGGAAACTTTTGAAGGGGCGAGAGAAGAAGTTAAGGAAAGGGGAGAAGGAAGAGTAAATGAGAAGAACGCTGCGGAAGGAAGAGATGATGGTGGAATATTGGGGGCGATTGGGGAGACCATATACGAGATTGCACAGACAACTAAAGAGATAGTGATTGGGCATGGTGATGAAACTAGAAAACAGAACACATTCGACTTTGAGCATGGCGAGGAAGAGGGAGAGGCAAATGACCAAGGATACGGAAGGGGAGAGCACTACCAAACTGCTACAAGGAAGGAATACAGAGCCTGATAGAAAGTTAAGAACTGTCTTTTTGTTTCAGGGTGAATAAAATTGAGTGTGTGTGTGTGTCCTTTTGTGTGCTTTTTAGTAGATCAAGTGTCTTGCAGTGGTGTAAAGGGTGGAGTTTCATATGAAGTAAGGAGCACTGCTATCATGCTCTCTTCTAAATTCGTCCAAATCATCCAGGCGATGGAAAGGTGAAGGGGGTGTGTAGTATATATACCATGGTTTTCCATTTCTTCCTATCTTGTCTTCGGACAATGAAGAACACACAGCCACCCCCATAGACACATTCAGAATATTTTCATAATTGAAAACACATTTTGCATCGTGTTTCATAACTAGACACTAATTCTCTGAAATTAAAGAAACCGAAGTTGGAGAGGAATAAACTCCCAAGTAGGAAGATGCATACATATATTTAAAACACATATTCTGTACACTATCATATGAGGCCAGGTTTTATTTTTATAAAAAAGAACCAGCTACAAATTAACACAGATGGACAGTTCAAGACTCTCAAGCGAACATAGGCAACTGCAACTACAGAAACTGGTAGGAAAAAAAGATACCCAACAGAGAAAGCAATAGAAAGTCACATGCTGTGAACTGCATGAGTAATGGAAGTAAGCAATATGCATATTCTGTACGACGAGACTACAAGAAGCATCTATCAAACCAAAATTCTACCATATGTTACAAAATTATTACAATGACAGAATTAACTCTAAACACCCACTAGCATCTAATAGCTCACCACCTTTGGTTCGCAATCAAAAGGATTACCTGATGGCCCATTCCAAAATAGGTTTTCACTGTACACCAACTGCAGATTCAAATCCACCATCTGAATTCTTCTGAAATAGAAGAAATCGATTTACCTTCCATCCATCAAAAACAACCTAAGAAAATTCAAGAGTAGAACTGTGAAAAATTAAAGCCCAAACCATTGGCTAAATTCGAACTTTAGGATCACGAGGACCAAATTGAAGTACGCTCTAATCATAAAGGCCAAATTTGTACTTCAACCTTCTTTTAATAAATGAAAACAAATAAAGTTTGAAAATGCTGGCAAAAATCTTCAATGTGTTAATGAAATGAAATATATACATAAATGATCTCTATATATAATACATAGAACAAATTATACAAAATGCTGGCAAAAATCTTCAATGTGTAAATGAAATGAAATATATACATAAATGATCTCTATATATAATACATAGAACAAATTATACAAAATACCCCTTAGAGGTTGAAAAGTGTCATGAACTTGAAATTTGTTCAGACCCTTGGAGACATTTTTATTAAATTAGGATAGAAAGTCGTATCATCGCTAATGTGTAAGCGGTAAAAACTGAAAATCACACATAATATCATTTACTATCTTTTGAAAGCAAACCATTTGTCACGTCAATTTTCATCCTTTATATTAATAAAGAACAAGAATAAGTTTCAAAATGTAAAGATAATAATGAAAATTTTCAAAACAATCTAATAAATAAAAGGACCAACCTTAGGCAAATGTTTATTAGGTCTACATATTCAAAATCACCAACATGAAGTGAAATTCCAGAAATAACGCTAACTTAGAATTAAAACATAGCTGCGTGTCAAAAGAAAAAAACCAATCATTAAGTGTAAACATGAAATTATTACCAGAATAGAAAATCAATGCGTTGGTGATCCTGAATCAGATCCTGATCCCGAAGAGCTGTCACTATCAGAATCTGCAACACAAAAATGAAAAAGAAAATTGGTAACATATGAAAAATATTATTTCGACTAGTTTTCACCAAAATGAACAATATGACGTTATTATAAGCACATCCGAGTAAACAAACGATTTACTTACCACTAGAAGAAGATCCAGAATCACTGCTAGAGCTACTTGAGCTACTGGACTTGCTCGAATGATCCCGCTGTTGTCCCCCACGGATGGGTGATGAAGAGGAAAGAATATTTTCATCTGCATGAGAATAACCTAAACGTTAGTAACTCTGTTCACTAGACAATTAAAAAAGCAAAACCCACCAAATTCTGTGCATCAACAAACTGACCTGCTCTAGTTTCTCTAAGTAACTTCGAACCATCAAGGGCTGGGATCTAGACGAGAGAGCAGCAGAGCTTTACTTAGCAAATATCAATTGATAATTTCGATGAGAAGAAATGACTGGAAAATTATATGCAAGGCTTACCTTCTCCTGACCATTATGCTCGGCTTCTGCCCGAGCCTTCAAAATGGCAAGTTCAGCTTTCCTTTTATTCTTGCTCAAACTTTTCCTGTAATTCGTAACAAGTCTATCAAGCTCCCACAAAGTCTCAGTGTCAACAGTATCAATGTCTACTTCTATTTCATCTTCTTGTTGGAGAAGTTCAAAGTTTCTCTTTTTGATGATCTGTAGAATGGCATCTAGCTTCTCAGACGGTAAATTCTGAAGGTTCGTACTGAGCTTTTTCTTTTCATTGTAAGTCATATCTCTTTTGAAGAGATCTTTTGCCTTGGGTTTTTGCAGTGAAGGCGTCCTTGCTGACGGAGTCACACTCATCGGCTGTGTCTTGGAATCGGCAGGGTTAATCAATGACTCTGACCTCCGTAGAATCTTTCTCATGTCAAGAGGAGGAACTGTTATGGGATGGGATTTTATTGAATTGGAAGATCGAGTAGCCCCAAATTCCATTCCCAACCTCAGCTCCTGATAATAGTTTGATTCTATTACAACCCACCTATCCTCAAAGATTTTCAGCAGCTGTTCAGCCATTATGTGAACATCTTGTCCTCTTGGATTATAAGTCATAGCATTATGGAAAGTAAGTCTCACGTCCTCCGCAAATTCTTTTGGAGACTTGTACCAATTCTTGTTTAGCCTCGTTTTCACAGTACCCAGGTCCATCGGATGTCTGATAATGATATAATAATCGTGCAAACAAAGCCCCTCTACATCGACAGGAGTATTAAATACCCAACCATGCTTGTGCTTCATCAATTTCTCAAGTAAAGAAACACAAGCATTGAAGATCTTGGAACCTGTGCCAAAACCATGTTTAAATTTTCTTCTACTATGCTTTTTCCCATTTAATTTGGACTTCTTATAGCTCTCAGCTGGAGGAATCTTATCTTTCGCAAGCAAGAATTCGGAATTTCTGTAGAACTGGTTTGCTTTCGGGGTCCTCTTCTCCCTTTCCATGAAATCATGCACCCCTTTACCATTCTCCAGAACCGATGTGCTTAACTGGCGTAGTGGCCTGGAGTCATCCGTAGGAACACCAACAGAACCGACTTCCGAATGCACATGATATGCTCCACGACCGTTATCAGCTATATCCATTGTCGACACGTGAGAATGGCTATGCCCGCTATTTATCTGGCCCTGTATGGCTTCAATCCTCTTAACCAAATTTCTCACAATTTCAAGCTCACTCTCAAATTTCCGCCGAAGCTCTTGCATTTCCTGCTTCGGCTTTGATGCGCAGTTGACCCGATTATGATCGTCGAAACCCATACTACTGATCCCATTAACAGAAGGCGGGTCCTGAGTAGCCTCCGTAGTCGGTCCAACGGATGTCTGTCCATCAAGCCTCGTCAAATCGTCAGCGTCAGAGGCAGCGTTCGGTAAAGGCTCCTGCTGAGATAGATTCGCATCTTCTGACGCTTCTGAATGCGGCACCGCCTGGTCTGAATTGTTATTTAAGTCTTTAACGTTGCTGAACGTGTCGGAGATGGTCTTCCCATTCCTGTTGCTTGGATCCTTATCGGTGGTGGTGGTAGACACAGTGATGCTGGCGGTAGCACTGGCCGTATTCTGGCTCTTCACACCTTTGAACGTTTTCCTTCTGTAAACCTTACACTCCGAATACCTCTGCTTAATTCTACCTTCATCTCCTCCTCCAGCTATAGGCGCTGAAGCCATACAAATAATCAAAATACCCAAAACCCTAAAACCCTCTTTTTATCCTCAGAGTATCGAATTATCCGTACCTAGGGTTTCCCTTCACCCGAAAAAAAAAAAAATCAAGCAAAACACGCAAAAAACTCAAATCTCCAATAAATTAAACACCAACACCGACGCCGTTCACCAAATTAAACCAAACAAATATATATATATATATATATCTCTATTAAACAAACCGATTTCTAGGATTCACGAAGGATCCAATAAAACTGCACCGAAGAAGCCACACGAACGAAGAAAATACGTCTAACAGCACCAAACGTTAGGGTTTGGAGGTCGGAAACCGAAATCCCGGCCAGATCTGGCTCGGTTGTTCTTGAGAAAAACACCACCGGGTCTCTAAGATCCACCGCCTCTCGACGTCGTCACGTTACAGGTGTACGGCAGATGCGAAGATCGTGGCCCGCAGCGTATTATATGACGCGTAAGGACGGCATCCAAAGGCCCGTGCAAAGAAATGGCCTTAGATGTCAATGTTTACGCGTCACTGTGGAAAGTGTACCGCACGGCCCAATGTGAAGAAAGGAGGGAAGAATATTTTGGCGCGTAAAGTGGACGGCGTGGAGATTTGATGGAGTTGGAACAATGGCGGGGACTGGTTTATGAATTTTCGAAGGGGATTTGATAAGTCGTGCGCGTGGATTATTTTGAAAAAAAAGAAGGAAGAAGATTATGTTTTGAAGCTACGGAAAATTGAATTTGCCGTTTAAATGCTGCCGTCGGTTACGGCGAGAGTAGGGCATAAATAACTCACCAGGCCCAAGCCCAATACCCACCACAAGCCCAAGCCCAGTCATCTCAAATTCAAATCGTCGTCGTTTTATTGCAAAATACTTCTTGAACTCCACGATGGGAGAGGCGGTAATTCAAATAATTAACTTTTTAGGAAGATTTTAACCGGGCAGTAAAAAAATGAAACATTCCACACTTAATTTATTTATTTTTTATGTTGCCTTATTGTACCAACAAAAGGATCATAAAAAAAATTAAAAATTATCTTATATGACTTAGTTAAAATAATATAAAATAATGTGTATATGTAATAGTTCGACACTATCAAATATTGTCATCTTTGAGTTTCACTCGAGAATTTTGAATTTTTCCTTATGGACTTCCCCATTATGCGTTTAGTGTAAAAATATTTCCACACTCTTATTATGGTTAATTCGATCTCACAATTCACCGCTTGAAAGCCTAGTGTTTTCGCTAAGACACAAGAGGGTGTTTGGTCCACCACTAGTAGATATTGTGACAAATATACAATAACGGCCCAAAGCGAATAATATTTACTAGCAGTGGATTTTGAGTGTGGATTTATCACCCAAGTGTTCAATAATTATTTTCAACTTATTTATAAATAAGTTTGAGATAAATTTTTAATTTCTCTATTTAAAACAAATTACATTCTTTATTACATTTTGAAAAAAATAATATTTTAAAAATTTGTCGAAATTTAAAATTAAAATTATAATTGTGAAAGTTGAGCTAAAATTTTAATTTAATGCGGTAATAAAATTTCCGTGAATGGAAAATAATATTTTATACTTCGAATTTCCACAAAAGGATTCAATTACGTACACTATAAAGGAGACGGAATGCAGACTACGTCGTTTTGGAGTGGAGAGACTTAATCTAAGCGATTAATTCAGTTCCGCTGTGTCAGAGTGTATTGACCTCGAGTCTCGAGTTGATCGGAATTTACCTATTTTCTAGATCAATTCCCATGGCGATTCCCGCACTTTCTCCTCCGCATCCTCATTCCGAACACCAAGAAGAAGAAGATCCAATGTCTCCTGCTCAAAACCCTAATTCCACGGACTTGCAACAACCGGAAGAAGGAGGAGAAGGAGCGGTAGAAGAAGAACAGAGGCAGTCCGATCCGCCTCAAACTTCTGAAACCCTAACCCTAGAATTGTCCGATCCTCAACAGAACTCCCCTCAGGCAGACCCGCAAGATTCGGAGCTCCAACTCAATGAAAATTTCATCAATGATCATGATCCTAGCGACCAAGGTGAGTCTACTGCGCTCTCACCTCGAATCGCGGATGTCAACGCGTTTGTTTCTTCTTCTGCTGCTTCTCGACGGGCTCCGAAGCGGAAGAAGTCCTGGATGAAACGAAGATTCTTTCAGGAGAAATCTCAGAAGAAGCTCGAGATTCTGGTTGATACTTTTAAACCCATTCCCTTCGTCCCTGCTAAAAATCTGGATTTCTCGAGTCACGAGAGGCTTTTGAAGCGATTGGGCTTGTGGGATTTCGTTCATATTAAATTTGATAGGTCTCTGCGATATGACCTTCTTTTGCAATTAGTTGCGAATTTTAGCAACAACCAGAGGTGTAGTTATGTCAATGGAAATAGAATCAGGGTCAATCGGGCTGATTTGGCTCGTGCCTTGGGGTTGCCGGTGAAGAAAGCGGCGATACTGGAGGATGGTGAGGAAGATCCCATAGCATCAGAGGAATCGATCGCTTTTATTGAGGATTTTGTGTCCAACTGGTTACTCTTACACGAAGATACGTGGATGATGCCCAATGAGATAATGAATTGGACAAAGGCGATCAAGGATGGGAGCTTTGAGCGGGTTGATTGGGCTGGTTTGATTTGGTTTATGGTGGAGAAGGAGTTGATGCAATCTCCGCAATTGGTGAATTGTTACTATGCTTCACATTTGCAGTGTCTGATCCGAGCACAACGGGAGGATTTATTGAAGGAAGAAGCGCCTAAGGTAGAAGAGGTCGAACACAAGGAGGAGGTGGAACAGGAACCTGAGCAGGAGCAGGAGCAGGAGCAGGAGCATGAGCAAGAGCAAGAGCAAGAGCAAGAGCATGAGAATGAGCATGAGCATGAGCAAGAGCAAGAGCAAGAGCATGAGCATGAGCATGAGCAAGAACAAGAGCATGAGCAAGAACAAGAACAAGAACAGGACGAAGAACAGGATGATGAAGATGGGGCTTGTAATGACAGTCTAAAGATAGTGGGGAACGATGACTCTATGTTTAAGAAATTGGAGGAACAAAATATTGAATTGTGCCTTGGGCAAGACAATGTCGAGAAAGTTGATATTCAAAAGGAGAAGGATAGTATTGGGGATATGATGGATTTAGTGGAAAGCAAAGAGGAAGAAGAAGAAGAAGAAGAAGAACAGCCACAACAACAAGGTCAATGGCTTTTTGATCGAAAAGGTAGTGCCCCGGAGCTTATGTTCAGAAGGTGTAATACGAATGAATTCAAGGAATTTGATTTTGGGGATGATAAGAAAGCAGAATTAGAAGAAGGGGATGGTCAAGGAAAAGAAGAGGAGGAGGAAGTGGAGGAAGAAGAAGAGGAGGAGGAGGAGGAGGAAGAAGAGGAGGAGGAAGATCAGGAAGGCGAGTTCCGCCTGTTACCAAGGAGCAATCCAATTGATGGATTTCCTTCGAGCCATTTTATTCAAGAAATGGAGACAGAGCCAATTAATTTTAACTCAGAATTTGAATTGCGTGATCATTCACCTGTTGAATTTCTTCCACCCAGAGATGATAGCAGAATGAGTTCTGGTGGATGCATGCCTTTTGTTAATAGCAACAAGAGAGTGATTGACCCCGATATTGACAACCCAGCTCAGTCTCTTAATGGCGGGAACAAGAGGTTAAGGAGCGAAGGTCCTCTTGACTATGACAAGTGTATGGATAACGTACAACAGTGGCTCGATAAAGCCAGGATAATGTACGCAGAGAAAGAACAGGTTCATCAGCAGGCCACAATGAATCAGCAATACTTGCTTCACGAGCTGCAGCAGAGAGAGACCTTCATTGAACATTTGAGAAAGACAAAGTTTGAGGAGCAGCAGAAGATGCAGTCTGATATTTACCGACTTGAGCGCGAGCTCTATGTGATGGGAAATTTACTGGACGGCTACAGAAAGGCAATGAGGGAAACACACAAAGCATTTGCAGAGTATAGAGCCCGGTGCTCGCAACCTGATGAACCACTCTACAAAGATGTTGCTGGTTCTGGTGGTCTTGTTCTGAGCACCATGGAACTGGAAAGGATCCGTTTGAAGCAGGCAGAGGAAGATAGACTAAACCGCTTAGTTATTGAAAAGAAGTTCAAAGCCTTGGAAGATAAGTTCGTCGATGTATTCCATGCTCATCTGCAGCAGGTTAGTTCATTGGATAGTAGGCTGCTAGATTTTGGAAATGAAGTGAAAACCTTGAGTGAATCATTCGCAAATAGGAAAGCTCCAGAAACTTCAGAACCCGTTTCAAATGAATGATGCAGTCCCCGGAACGCACTGTGTATAGTTAACTTTGAATCATGACTAGCTTGCTTCAAATGGTATTTTTTTTTTTTTTTAGTTTTGTGTCTCTGTTTGTGTAGATTCGAACAGGAAATTTAGTTCTTTCCAATTTTATCGGCAGATTACGGTTAATGTTAAAAGTTATTATTCTTATCAACATATGAGGAGCTTTGAAAGCTTTCATTCATTCTGTCTTTCGTAGACAAACCCCTATGGGCCTCTTTGCTCTCAACTTTTTTGTACTGATCAAAGATGCTAAGATTATTGGGGATTCTAACTCCTGATTCTTCATATGACCTCTGTAAAGCTGATACTGAATCTGTAAAAGAAGCCCATTTTCTGAATGTTGCAAAAAGATATCCACAGTAGTTGATGTCTTATCTACTGTGTTATACCGAGAGTGACGATTAAACCGTTGCATCAGCTCGGTCTTCATGTGTCTGCTATAAACTAAGGTTAAAAACACTTTTTTCCCCTTAAAATTTTGGTTTTGACAATATTTTTTGTTCATCTTCTACTTGGATTATCTGCATATTCCAAAGATGTACGTTGTTTAGAATAACAAAAGTTTAAAGACGATGGCAAATCTTTAAAAAAAAAATTAATGTTGTTTCCATATACGTATAGTTGGGTCCTGCAAGGTTCGCGGGTTTTATTCTGTAAAAACCATTCCTCGGCGGTCTAATTTTCTCCTATAATAATCTATGAGCAACATCTCCTGTGGTTTCCTTCCACCACCGTCTTAAAGCATCACCTCCGATTTTCCCGACGTGTGCTATTCGAGTCAAAATCATCCTCCATCGGTCTCCGTTTTCATCGTCAATCCCCATCAAACACGTGCCCACAGATGGACTTTTCCTTGAGTGGGTCCTTTTCTGGATGGCTTCTTCTCGAACAAATATCATGAAAATGGGTGGAGCCACCAATTTGGTTTTAAATCCGTGATGTGGGTGTTTCTGTACTTGTAAACCCGAACTCCCTCGGTTTCTTGGTTCTTCGTTTCATGAGGGACATTCCGGTTCTTCATCTCCCGGTCCCACTGCCACCGCCGATCAGCGCCGTTGGTCGGCGATCAATACCTCCGTCCTGCGCTCTATGCAGACATAGGTCACTTCCTTCACGTTCCGGTTTGCGCGCTGTGTTTCATCCGGCTAAGAAGTTCCAGGTATTGGCTGCGAATAAACAGTTGCCGGAGCTGAAGAACGGAAAATCAGGTTCGACATTTTGATCCATTGAGTTTCCACAAAGCTATTAGGTACGTTGCTATTCGATTCTTAGCTCGTTGAATTTTGGCAGAGAGCGAAGGTGTTTCTGTGCGAGCAGAGGATAGCGATGGCCTTGATATAGGATGGCTGCCTGCTTTTCCTCATGTTCTGGTTGCTTCCATGTCTAATTTTCTCTTCGGTTAC